GGGTGCAAGTATCTCCTACCGATAGCCTCCATGGGCCTTTATTTGTACATCAGAAGTTCTTTATGTCATCATTACATCATACAATCATGTGATTTCACTTTTACATTGTTTCAGAAATTATTAATACTCATTAACAGTGCACAGTCCTTTTTCTAATTTTCCCAGTATATGATTAACTTGGTTGCTTGGTTACATTAACATGGCTACATATTTTCCTAGGTGATGTATATTATTCATAAAATAGAAACAGGTGCTATGCACAACGTGATTCCAGCAGTCAAGCTAGGTAACTAAAACAAGGCTAAGTGGGCATTGTAAAATCAAGGGTGGCCTTCTCTTTCCTTTATAGAACCAGGGGGTCCCTGTGTCATGGGAACAGCATGTGGTATGTTTTTCTCAGACCCCTTTGCCTCCCGGGGCATCTCAGGGGCTTTCTCTTGGGGAGGACTTTTACTGGGCTCAGTTCCATCAGTTCTATCAAGTGTGGTTTGTTAGAGCACTCAGTGTTACTCGTGGTAACTGAATTACAAATTGGAGGATGTGGAGAATTATTGGAAACCGTTTCATTATCAATCATGTTGGAAGGCACATTTTTTCAAACTCCTGAGGTGTGCATTACCGAAACTGGCATTGATGCCAACACTCACTGCGTTACTCTAAAGCTTATAGAAAATTTCCATGGTTTCAATAACTGCCACAAACAAATGAAAGGAAGTAGCAGGAGCCAGCTATGGAGCTTTCTGACTTTTCAGAAATTTCCGCCATGCCCGGACCTTGTCAGACAGCATGGGTAGGTAGCATGGCCCGCGCCAGATCAGTATGCTTTTGCAAAACTTACTGAAAGCCTTTACCCCCAACGGGCAGCTATGAAACATGGACAAAATGCCTGGGAAGCTAGTTGAGGTTGTTGAAAAGTAGACTCAGCATGTTGATTAGGGAAGAATCTCAGAATTGAGGCACCACTGAACTCAAGCCGAGCTTCCCCACTTTATCCTTTGGGCTAATTCCCCACCCTTCAAAGTGTGGAAATCACCTTGGGAATTGTGTGTGGGGAGGAGAGATCTAGAGAGTGAGAGATCTAGACAGGTCTAGACAGAGATCTAGACAGAGAGATCATGAGAGAGATCTAGAGAAAGAGCTGTTCCCCAGAAAACAGCTTCTACTTCTGCTTCAAGAAGCAGAACGGGGAGCTTAGCCCCACCATCTCAGGGCTGAGGTGGTATCAGTAAAACAGTAGGAGCTAAAGCAGTGCATTTGGGGAATGTTTTTTCTATTTGGTGAAGCTGTAGTTCTGAGTGGTAAAGCTAAAACACTGCTTTCATTTTTTTCTTTACAAAATATCCCTCCTGTTATTTTCACTATTCCATGTGATAACAGAACTGGGTTGTTTCTACTTAGAGGGACTCTCAAGATATGAGACAAGGGAGGCAGCTAATAGGAGGGGCTTGGGAACTGATCCTGTGAAGATGTTTGTGAATTCTTAGACTCGCCATTACGTGCAAATGCATGGATCTCAACCTTCTTAACATGCCAGGGACTCTGAGAATTTCTGATGAACAGAACTATGCCCAAGTGTCAGAATGCCCTCTCTATAGCACACCTCGGGCAGTTGAGTGGCCTTGCACAGCTTTTAAAATGGAACTGAGGGCCTCCCTGGTGGTGCAGGCTGTTGAGCGCAGCCCTGTGGAGCTGTCCGCAGCCTCTGCAGTGCCAGTTAGATCTCCCCCTGGCTGCGGAGATAACCACATGGCGTGGCAGACCTCTCCTGTCTTGCCCGCTGCTCCCCTCAGCAGTGTATTTCAGTCAGTCTGCCTGTTCTGTTCCCCACTCTGTCTCAAGTGACTCCTCTCACCCTCCTGCGCATCTGGCCTGTACCCCGGTTCTTGTATAAAAATAAATAAATCTTAAAAAAAAAAAGGAACTGACATTGAATCCACAACCCAAAGGAGGTTGGTTGGAATTTATGGCTGGAAGATAACCAGATTAAGTGTCTGGAAAAAAATATTATAAATATCTAATTCCTCGTGGATTTAAACAGGATTTCAAAAGAGAACAATTAAGATTTGAGCATACAATCCATATGGGCATATGAAGAAAACTACAAAAATCTCATGGGAAGACAATCAACAGATGACAGTGAACAGATGACTTTACAGTAGCTATTACACAAATGTCCCAATGAATGAACATGAATCCTGAAATAAAATACAAGAAAATATCAGTGAAGAAATAGTAGATAAGGACTAGAACCAAATAAAATATAAATATAATGGCCACCCTACCTGGCCCCCCAACAAAGCAAAAAATAACAAGAGACACATCATTAGATGGATTCAATAATAGAATAGACATGGCACAGGATAGTAAACCTGAAAATAAACCAATAGAGATTATTCATTTTGAACAAAGGGAAGGAAAAGGATTGAAAAATATTTAACATGGGCCTCCCCAGTGGTGCAGTGGTTGAGCGCTGGCTTGCAAAGCTACCTGCAGCCTCTGCAGCGCCAGTTCGATCCCTGGCCACTGGGTGAGGGTCCCACATGGCACGCAGACCTCTCCTGCCGCCCGCTGCTCCCCTCAGCAGTGTATTTCATCAGTCTGTCTGTTCTGCTCCCTGCTCTGCTTCTGGTGAATTCTCTCACCCTCCTGTGCTTCTGACTGTACCTAGTGCTTGTATAAATTAATAAATAGATCTTAAAAAAAAAAAGAAAAATTAAAAAAAAAGAAAAATATTTAACAGAGACACCGAGACTGTTGGATAAAAACAAAAGGCACACTAATAAAAAAAAAAAAATGGAAAAAGAAAGAGAGTGTGGTTGGAAAAAAAAATGCATCCCAAGAGATACTAGCTGAAAACTTTCCCAAGTTTGGCAAAAGACTGACTAAATCGGTAGCTTCAAGGAGCTCAGTCAACTTCAAATAATATAAACGCAAAGACATGAATATGCAGGCGTATCATGACTGCTGAAAACTAAAGACAGTCAAAAATCTTGAAATCAGCCAGAGAAAAGTGACTTATTGCCTATGGAAAAAGTCATTCAAATGACTGAATTTTCTCAACAGAAATCATGGAGGCCGGAAGGAAATCACACACCATTTTAAAAGTGCTAAAGGAAAGATTAGAATCCACTCAACTGTTTGTGGGAGATACTTTTCCTTAGTGACACTTCTCAAGCTGAGACTCTGAGGTTTCCTTTCTGTAAGATTTCCATTATAGAAATGTTGTGCTTCTGATAGGCTATGTCAGAACAGTACTAACATCTCACTTTTATCAATGATTTTCTCTCTAGTCCCTCAGACTTTAATATACATTTTAAGGATACTGGATAGAATCTTGGTTTATTTAAGTGTGTGTTTTCCCTTCGTATTTTACTCTGGCACAGAGTATATGTTTAATGCAGAAATCAGCAAACTACAGCCTGTTTTGTAAAACTGAAAAATGGTTTATTGGACACAACCATGCTCTTTCACTGAGGTGTTGTCTGTATTTCCTTAGGTGCCACAACAGCAGAGTTGAGTGGCTGTGACACACCCTCTTAAAGTGTTTACTAACTGACCTTGTTCAGAAATTTTGCCACTCTTGGTTGAGGGTGAGGCCAAGACTCTGTATGACATGGGAAGACAATCTTGTTCACACTGGTTAAAGATGCTATTATTGCTCTGATAAATGTCTTTAGCATTGCTTTTTCTGGACAGGAAATAAGAAACTAGTTTTCCTTTTCATTTCCTGGAAGCTTTATTGAGGTATAATTGAAAAATGAAAACAGTATGTGTTTTAGGTGTCCAGCATGATTTAATATACATTTACATTATGAAATAATTACCCCAAGCAGGTTAATCAATTCATCCATCACCTCACAAGTTTAAGGCACAATGTCCAGTTCAGAGAAAGTGTTCAGGGAAGGAAAGCTCTGTTTACCTACAGTTGATGTTATTATCATAAATCTCCAATACTGAAATCTTAGTCAAGGTACATTTCTGTGTCTGGGTGTGGTGAGACCACTTAAGATCGACCCTTATCAAATCTCAAGTATACTTGGCTATTATAAAAAAGACAAAAGTGACTATTGACTAGGATGTGGAGGACAGAGAAAGCTGTGCACTGTCAGTGGGAATAAAAATCCCTACAGCCATTATGGTAATCAGTACAGAGATTCCTCAAAGATTTAAAACTAGAATGACCTAAGATCTAGCAATTCCACTTCTGGATATACTCCCAAAGGAAATCGGTGTTTCTAGATGGTCTCTGCCTGTCTCTTTCACCTAGCATTTTTCATAGACCATGATATGGACACAACCTAGGTGACCATTGAGGGTTGAATGGATAAAGAAAATGTGGAACAACACACATACAATGGGGTATTAGTTAGCCATAAAATGAAGGGAAATTCTGCCATATGCAGCATCAGTGTTGGAGAACATTCTATGAACTGAAATAAGCCGGTCACAGAAGCCAGTATCCTTATAAATGACTTTGTGTGTCAAGCTCATAGTGTCATTCATTGCTTTAACTTTTCTATAATTACTCTGATAAATTTTTTTTTAAAGATTTATTTATTTATGCATACAAGAGCAGGTGTAGGCCAGAGGTGGGGAGGAGGGTGAGAGGATTCGCTAGAGACAGAGTGGGGAGCAGAACAGGCAGAACTACTGAAATACACTGCTGAGGAGAGCAGCAGGGAGACAGGAGAGGTCTGCTGTGCCATGTGGGTAGCTCCTTGGCTGGGGATCGAACTCATGCTGCAGTGGCTGCCAAAGGCTTCATAGTCCTGAGACTTAACCCCTTGCGCCACCAGGGAGGCCCCTACTCTGACAAAAATCTTAAAATTCACTTCCCTAAAACTGGTTTTCCGGATATGTGCAGACGTTACTAATCAAATGTTTCAATCTTGATCACTTAGTCGAAAGTGTAAGATTCCCGAGTCTTGTTTCCCCATTTCGATGGGCCCTAACACCGCCCAGTAATTTCAAGTTCTTTCTCCTTAAATTCTGTTTTCTAGGAGCCTCCGGAGCTTTCAGCAGAGCCCCCTCTTGCCGAGTGACCCCTGGGTCTTCATGCAACCATGGATCTGGATAAACCGTCTGTCTGGGGCTCACTGAAACAGCGAACCATGCCTCTGTTAATCAACTTGAGCAAGAAGAAGGGGAAAAAGAACGCAAACAAACCCCTTGACTTAAGAGCAAGACACCACCTGGATCGCCGCCTCAGCCTCTCTGTCCCTGATCTCCTGGAGGCCGAGGCCTTGGTCCCAGAGGGCCGGCCATACTCGGGGCCAGAGTCGTCCTACACCTCCGTGCCCAGCAGCCTGTCTTCTGCCGGGATCCTTCCCAAGAGTAGCAGCAGTTCCTTGAAGCAGTCTGAAGAAGAGCTGGACTGGAGCCAGGAAGAAGGGGGCTATGCTCATGTGTTGGAAACAGACTCGGAGGAGGCCTATGTCTCTCCTGCTGAGGACCGCAGGGCCTCTAGCAGTGGCTTCTTTGATCTGCTCCAGAAAACTCCCCTTGTGGAAGATGCGTTAGAGAATCCAGAGGTGAGGCCAGGGCTGGACATGTCCCTATTTCTTGACTTTTTTTCTTCTTTTACAAGGGCGTTAGGTGCCCTTGGAAAATTTGGTTAGGAGTTATTTTCGTGGTTAGCTTCAAGGGAGAGATGTCATTTACAAGAATTTAAATTAAGGTAGTATTGATTGCACCCAGTGTCCCCATTAGTTTTAGGGTTGACCTCTATGTATTTTAGAACTATTACAGAAACCTTTCTAAGACACTTTAAGGCATTAAAAGCCCAATTGGATGAGTTTTCCTTTTTCTATCTCTTGGCAATGAAAGCAAGAGCTCAACTTTTCCCATCTCTTTTTTGCCAAGTGTGGGACTGTTTCCCTCTCTCCAGTGTAGCCCAGCCAGAGTGCATCATACTGTTCGTAAGAAATGTGGGAAGGTGTGTCTCCCTTTGACTGCCAGATACTGTAAACTTCCTCCTGGAAAACATGTGTGTGCACGTTTATCTGGGAGAGTTCACTCGGATCTCTCTCTGGAAAGTCCCCATTTTTTTCAAAGTCCCAAATTAAAAGAAACAAATCATTTTCCAGTCAGTGATTTTACTGTCTTCCGATAAAAGAGTCAAATATGATTATGAGATAAATCTTACAATTCTACAATGAGTTTAAATTCAGTTACCAGATCACTAAATCATAATTTGGTGAATAAATTAAAATTTTTTTTTTTAAAATTCCTCCATCAATCATGCCCAAGTAGGTTGCAATGTTGAGGGAAGAAGTTAATTTTCTACATTCCAGGTTATTGTTATAATTCCATAGGACATTGGTTATTCAGCTGGGATTTTGGAGTTTACTTTTAAAACCAAAACCTGTGAGATAAGTCATATATTTGGATTTCACTGGGGAGCAGGATCCTGGATATTTGGAGGGTGCTGATATCATATAGTTTTGGAAGCTTTTACTCTGTTGAGACACCACATTTAATAAATTTTCTTAATTACTTTTTTTAACTTTATTTATTTTTTTAAGATTTATTTATTTATTTATACAAGCACTGGGTATAGTCAGAAGCGCGGGAGGGTGAGAGAATTCACCAGAGCCAGAGGGGAGAGCAGAACAGGCAGACTGACGAAATACACTGCTGAGGGGAGCAGCGGGCGGCAGGAGAGGTCTGCGCGCCATGTGGGACCCTCACCTGGTGGCCTGGGATCGAACTAGCACTGCAGAGGCTGCAGGCAGCTTCGCAACCCAGCGCTCAACCGCTGTACCATCTGGGAGGCCCTCTTAATTACTTTTTTCGCTACCATTAGCATTTATTAAATCCTTGTCATAAATTTTTCTATTATTATAAAATTAACATATGTGTTTTCACTAATCAAATTGTTAACTAAGTGAAATTTTAAACCAGTTCAATATGAAGGCATTATATACTGAAGTTAATCTTTATCTTCTTGTTACTTATTAACTGACCGGGAAAAATGGGTTGGATTCTTAGATTTATCATGTTAACAATCTCAAATTGGAAGAGTTTCTCTTAAGTTGATAGGGCTAAAACTGTTTTACTATTCCCGTGGTCTTTATTGTAAATAAAGTACCCAAATGCTGCTTTAACTCAGGTGTCACAATGGTTGTTGCTGGAAGTAGAAGCCAACAGCAAGTGACCCTGCCTTCAAGTTCTCACCTATGGGGAGACAGCTTTGCCTAGCACTGAACAGTCTGTGGGAAACACCCAAGCCTGGTCTCGGAACAGCTGGGTGGAGCTCAGTGTGGGGCCCAGGGCGTGTGCTTATATAAGACAAATGCCAAGGTGGCTCTGAGATTAAGTAAGATTGCACAGGTGAGGAGACAAGGTGAACAAGGTCCTGCAGTGCAAGTGGGGGACAGGGGTTGGGGATGGTGGCCATTTTACTCTGCAGGAACAGAGCCCTGTGGAGCTTTCTGCTGTGCTCTCTGGAAAGTGGCCTGTGCTGAGGGCCTGGTCAGTGATGGCGAGTGACTGCCAGGTACATGGTTGGTAGTGGTTAATGTCATCTCCCCTGATTAAATGCAGAACAACCTAGAAAAAGCAGAGTCTTTTAAGAGTAATTTAAAACAAAAACAAGCTCTTAGGTTACAAGAACAAAATGGTGGTCACCAGAAGGGAAGGGGTATGGTGCCAAAGGGCATACGTTGCATGGTGGTGTGGGTGGAAAAGGAATTTCCATGGGGATCATCATGTGGCACATGATGGGGTGGACTCTGCTCCTGATGCTGCTGCATAGTGTCACACAATATCTTGCAATTTGATAAATAAAACAAGAAAAGAAAGGATAGGTTTTCCTGGGTAATTTGACTTTCTTTTTTAACACAGCCATTTTTTTTCTAAATTCTTGAAAAAGAATTTTGTTTCTTTTTCGTGTCTGAGTAAGAATTGCTAGAAACTAGCAGGGAAATGGCCACTTGAGTGCACTTATTTGCTTGGTGGCCTGTTTGCAGAGGATGCAGGAACTGGACAGCAACTCCCCACACCTACAGGATCCCCTGAGGTCAAGTGCATTGCTCAGCCTCCTCTACTCCCTGTCTCCTCTGTGACTCCCAGCTGAATCGCCTAGATTGGTGGGTCCCTCTTACTACTTGAGGATCCAGTTCATCAGGTGGAGCAGCAGGGAGCCCCTCCCTTGCTTAGCTCCTCCACTGGGCTATGCTAATCTGGGGATGGGTGTGGTAGAGGGGTCCTATCTGATTGGTCTTTGATGTCTCAGGCCTGCACTGGGTGTCTTGCTCATAACCTGTGCTCCCTTAACACTGGTCAAGACAGACTCCAGTTGGGCAATGTGTGCATTCTGATTAGTATGCCTTCTTAGGGTCTTTGTTGTAAGTTCTCTTCCACTTACAGGTTCATTAAAGTCAGCGTTAATTTTGGGGGTTTTCAAACCCACCATCCTATAAATGAAATCTCTTTTGATATGCTGTTAACTAAACATGTGGAGTGATTCAGCCAGGCTAGACATTTCAACTCACATCTAATGCTAACTTTACACCTGAATTTATATCCCTGCCTTTTAAAGGAAGGTGGATGTGCTACTAATTTCTTTTTTTCATGAATTCACGTGAGTTTTGGAGTTGGCTCACCTGTCTCTCTGATGTGGTGGCCACTTTCTTCTTAGTGAATGGCCATTGGCTTTTGATCACTTTCATGGGGGAAGAAGCTGGAAGGAAGGCAGGGGTCAGAGGGATAGCCCTGGTGTGCAGGGACAGTGGCATACCTGCCAGAACCCTTGGCATCGGTTATCTTGTTTGTGGCTTTTAGGGGGTTAGGGAAGGAATATCTGTGTCCTGAGGCACCCCTGGGCTTGTCTCACCTGTTTTCTGTGCAAGGTCTCATGGTTCCAGGCTGAGCCTGCAGAGATGGGCTGGGAATCATATCACAGCACTGGCCAGGCCTGTGGTATCCACTGAAGGCAGAGGGGCCAGCTGCAATGATGGGAAAATGCAGTGATGAGGCAAAGAAGAAACTTAAGGATGAAGGAAGGTGAAGGTGTGTGAGAATGCAGAGATGGAACACGGAGTTGTCAGTGCGGGTGTCACACTCACTGTAAAATCGAAATGGGAAGGAGGCTCGGACTAAGGGAGTCCAAAGTCAGCCCAGGTTAGAATCACATGGTATCAGGGATGGTTTTGTGGATATGCATCGCTGCAAGGGGCACCCCATGAAATGGCAGCTGCCTGGCATCCCTCTCAAGATAGAAAGTGACTGCAGATGAGAACCTGATGTGGTCATGCTTTGTTAACTGGAGTCTCCAGCATCCACCCCACTTGCCAGCCCACCGTGCCAAGGAAGCCAGGGCTCTCAGAGTCCCAAGCCTCGTTCCTCCTCGGTGGTCAAGTGGACAGGATCAAACTTTACCCAGGTTTCTTCACATAGCCTCTCCTTTCCTTCTGAGTGGCACTTTATTTCATGAGCTGTATGTCATCACTTGTTGCATTGGGCAACACCACACTGATAAAGAAACGGGAGTCATGGAGCAAGCTACATAATTCAGGCTGCTGCTGAGGAGCAAGATCCCGGCCTTTTTATTGATATACAGCATAAGGGGGAGGAGAAAATGGAAAGGAAAAGAAGATAAAAGAAAGGGGAAGAATGTAGAAGATCAGGGACTGTGAGCCTGCCCTCCAGGCACTTCTCATCTGCTTGATGACTGGTATTGTCATTGAGATCATGCCCTAATCCCCCAGCCATGGTTTTAATCTTATCAATAATGTGTTCCACTGATCAGCTTCTTGGGTTCTTTGTTATACATGGGTCCTCAGCCCCCTGGGTGTCCTGGTCATAGAGATGCATAGCCTTCCCAGTGTGATCCAGCATTGTGCTCTTGTTTGATATGAAGGGCATCTAGCAGGGTTGGGCTCCTGTACCTAACTGACCCAGCTGTTGTGGATTTAATAAATCCACACTGTTTAGGATTTAATAAAATCCTAACATCACTGTTTAGGATTTAATAAAATGGTGGCTAAACAGGCTGCTTAGGGGTAGCAGACCCACAATCACTTGCAGACAGGCCAGTATTTGATCATGGTTCCCTGAAAGCCAGATTGTCTCCTTTAGGTGACTGTGTGTCTGCCCTCAGGTGGGTGAAAAGTGGTGTTACCTTATTCTCATCACTCTCCACCAAGACTTGGAGCTTAGGAGGTGGAAAGGGTACTTGACACAGTGGCCAAACCATCTTGAGTTTAGAAGTTGGGCTCTCTTGGGAGACGGGTGCTCCTGAAGAACCCTGATTGATATCGTCTTTTTTTCCTTGCACCAGTCCTTCTGGTTTATGTCAAGTATACTGACTCATGTTGTCTCTGCAGTTGACTTTCAAGCCTCAGGCCACTGTCAGGTACTGGGGGTGGGAGGGTGGGGAGGGCATTAGAAAATCAGTTGGGTTGGGGAAGGTGGTGGCACATAGAGGCTCTGGGTGGGTAGGGAGTTCCCAAATATCAGATTAAATATGAAGAAGTTAAAGTTAAGCAGACTCAGAGGGGGGGGAGGGGAGTAGCTGGTTTTCTTGTTT